GCTAATCTCCGAAATCGCTTAACCGATTTCAATGAAATTTTTAGCGTGTGTATTGTTTATTCCAACTTAAAAGATAGGATAGTTTTGAACCCGAGAAAAAATATATTGTTTTTTTTCATTAAAATTTTGTATATGCCTCTCACATCGTGCTTATCTCTATATACATAAGAATGGTGTAAAAAATTTATAGTAATTCATTAATTGTAAACGGTTGGACCGATTTGGCAAAATTTTTTTTAGATGTTCGTAATTTCCGGAAGGTTTTTACGAAAGAAAATTTTGCGTAACGCTCCAGGAAAGTCCGAAAATTGGAAAAATCGAAAATGGATTTATTTTTGTATAGAATTTTGTGTGCGATTCCTTCGGAATGGCTTTCGAAAGGAAAAAGGAAAATTCTTAAGTGGAAAACTCGGCAAAATTCGGAAGAACACGAAAAATTTAAATTTTGTTCGAAGAAATTTTGTATTTTATCGCATGATTTGATGATCTTGGACGAAGTAATGGTGGAAAATTCGTTGTTAAGCTTGGAAAATTTCGGATAATTGTGAAATTCATTGTGAGCATGAATCAATTGGGAACAATTTTCTCCTATGTTTCATAACCGATTCGAATGGTTGCTGCTTTTTTTGAAGGGTGTTGAGAAGGAGGTGTGCAAAATGTTTTATTTTTTTCGATAGGTGGCGCAAGGGACGAGCTACGCTAAAAAAATGCATTTGGTACGTAGGTAGCCTTGATTAGCATATAGGATCCATTTTTTTTTCGTTGAGGGGGCCAGGGACCGATCTATTCCAAAAAGTCTTATTTATGGTTCGATTTGCTTGAAATTTGGCACGTAGGTAGCTTATTGCCTGTATTAACATATAGGATACTTTTTTTCTGATAGGTGGACCAGGGACCAATGTATTCCCAAAAATATTAGTTAGTTATCCGATTTGCTTCAAATTAGGTACGTAGGTAGCCTTCTGGCTAGATTAGCATACAGGTTCCATTTTTTCCGTTATGTGGGCCAGGGCCCGATCTATTCGAAAAAGTCTTATTTATAGTCGGATTTGCTTGAAATTTGGCATGTAGGTAGCTTATTGCCAGGATTAACATATAGGATATTTTTTCTGATAGGTGGACCATATACCGATCTATTGGAAAAAATCGTATTTATGGCGCGACTTCCTTGAAATTTGTCATGTAGGTAGATTATTGCCAGGATTAACATACATATACGATACTTTTTCCTAATAGGTGGACCAGGGACCGATCTATTCCAAAAAATCCTATTTATGGTCCGATTTAGTTGAAATTCGATACCCGTATTATAGATATGCGTAGAATAAAATTGAGTCATTGTTTTACAGTTCGAAAGGTTTTTGAAAGCGCGCAAACATGCGGGTATTGGCTAATTAACAATACTTATTACACCGGCAAAAAAAATGGATAAAAATTTTATGCAGCAAAGTTGACAATGTTTTTGAGAATTTTTTTTGTGCTGATTACGAGTCCGTAAGCATAAAGTTTCCATCATCCAGATTTAAAAAAAAAACGAGGTCAAAGCGCCTAAAAATCGCGTTTTTGCAATATATGAGAAGCTCTAGCAAAGAAAAAAAGGGTGGTAGAACCTTCCACTTCGGCTTAGATTAAAGCTAAAAATCTCGACTACTATCCTTGCAAATTCCTGAACTTTTGCTTGATGGTCACTTACAGTTATTTGATGATCAGGAAAAACTGATTTTGGGAAGTTTGAGTACCTACCGCAATTAAGCAAAAGGTGATAGAACATTCCACTTAGGCTTAAATTAAGGCTTGGACTTCTGACTTCAATCCCTGAAAATACCATTCCTGCAACTTGACCCAAGGTCACCAATAGTCGTTTATTGAACAGCTAACACTGATTTTTACACACTTTTTTCAATTGCATAATTTTCCAGTATTTTTTTTATTGTTGGACGATAAAATGTAATTAGTATAGGTGACCATCAGGGCAAGGTGCAGGAATAGCATTTTCAGGGGTAATAGTCTGTAGTTCTAGCTTTGATTTAAGCCTAAGTGGAAGGTTCTATCACCTTTTGTTTCCTTGCTCGAGTTTCTCAAATATTGCAAAAAACGCGACTTTTTGACACTTTCTCCACGTTTTTCTCAATATATGGAGCTGATGGAAACTTTGTTGCGGTCACACTGGTTTATAACAAATTTGGCCGGCGCGAATGCG